TTTTTCCTTGATAAGTCTGGCTAGCGGTTTATCTATTTTGTTTATTTTCTTGAAGAACCAGCTCTTGCTTTCATTGATTCTTTCTATTGTTTTATTCTTCTCAATTTTATTTATTTCTGCTCTAATCTTTATTATGTCCCTCCTTCTACTGACTTCGGTTTGCATTTGTTTTTCTTTTTCTGGTTTCATTAATTGTGAGTTTAGACTGCTCATATGGGATTGTTCTTCTTTCCTGAGGTAGGCCTGTATTGCAATATACTTTCCTCTTAGCACGGCCTTGGCTGTGTCCCACAGATTTTTGCGGTGTTGAATTATTGTTGTCATTTGTCTCTGTATATTGCCTTATCTCTGTTTTTATTTGGTCATTAATCCATTGGTTATTTAGGAGCGTGTTTTGAAGCCTCCATGTGTTTGGCAGATTTTTCATTTTATTTGTTTAATTTATTTCTAGTTTCATATGGCCTGAGAAGCTGGTTGGTACAATTTCAATCTTTTTGAATTTACTGAGGTTCTCTTTGTGGCCTAGTATATGATCTATTCTTGAAAATGTTCCATGTGCACTTGAGAAGAATGTGTATTCTGCTGCTTTTGGGTGTAGAGTTCTGTAGATGTCTGTTAGGTCCCTCTGTTCTAATGTGTTGTTCAGTGCCTCTGTCCCTTTACTTTTATTTCTGTCTGGTTGTTCTGCCTTCAGAGTGAATGGAGTGTTGAAGTCTCCTGGAATGAATGCATTGCATTCTATTTCACCTTTTAATCATGTTAATATTTGTTTCACATACATAGGTGCTCCTGTGTTGGGCACATAGATATTTCTAATGGTTATATCTTCTTGATGATTTACCCCTTTATCATGATGTAATGTCCTTCTTTGTCTCTTGTGACTTCCTTTGTTTTGAAGTCTACTTCGTCTGATACAAGTACTGCTACACCTGCTTTTTTCTCTCTATTAGTTGCATGAAATATCATTTTCCATCCCTTCACTTTTAGTCTGTGTATATCTTTGGGTTTCAAGTGAGTCTCTTGTAGGCAGCATATAAATGGGTCTTATTTTTTTATCCATTCAGTGGCTCCATGTGTTTTGATTGGTGCATTCAGTCCATTTACATTTAGGGTGATTATCAATAGGTATGTACTTACTGCTATTATAGGCTTTAGATTCGTGATTACCATTAGTTCAAGGTTAACTTCCTTACTATCTAAGAGTCTAACTTAACTCACTTAATATGCTATTACAAACACAACCTAAAGGTTCTTTTCTTTTTCTCCTCCTTTTTCTTCTTTCTCCATTCTTTATATATTAGGTATCATATTTCATACTCTTTGTCTATCCCTTGATTGACTTTGGGGATAGTTCATTTTGTTTTGCATTTGCTTAGTAACTAGCTGTTCTACTTTCTTTACTGTGGTTTTATTACCTCTAGTGACAGCTATTAATCCTTAGGAACACTTCCATCTATAGCAGTCCCTCCAAAATACACTGTACAGATGGTTTGTAGGAGGTAAATTCTCTCAGCTTTTGCTTATCTGGAAATTGTTTAATCCCTCCTTCAAATTTAAATGATAATCTTGCTGGAGAAAGTAACCTTGGTTCAATGCCCTTCTGCTTTGTTGCATTAAATACATTGTGCCACTCCTTTCTGGCCTGTAAGGTTTCTGTTGAAAGTCTGATGATAGCCCAATGGGTTTTCCTTTGTTTGTGATCTTTTTCTCTCTCTGGTTGCTTCTAAAAGTCTGTCCTTACTCTTTGATCTTTGCCATTATAATTATTATATGTCTTGGTGTTGTCTTCCTTGGGTCTCTTGTGTTGGGAGACCTGTGGATCTCCATGGCCTCAGAGACTATCTCCTTCCCCAGATTGGGGAAGTTTTCAGCAATTACCTCATCCAAGACACTTTCTATCCCTTTTTCTCTCTCTTCTTCTTCCAGTACTCCTATAATGCAAATATTGTTCTGTTTGGATTGGTGACACAGTTCTCTCAATGTTCTTTCATTCTTAGAGATCCT